TGAGTTGTGTGTCCAGGAGGCTAGTGTAATGACCATACTGCTGTCTTCTTTCATCAGTGAGCTATGGCCTGGTCCAGCAGCTCCTGATAAATGGTCTTTTCCCCCTGCTGGTAGGTCAACCTCCCCTTGTCTTTGCTGTTCTTCCTCCCCCTCCTCCGCCTCAAGGGCTAGGATGTAGTTATACAACAGGGAGACAAACATCATGTCTTCTTCGGATAGATCATGCTCTGGTACATCTGGAACTTCTGGATCTTGTTGTTCTGCCATCGTGTTCTGGAGTCAAAGATGCAATGATTTTGTGGATCTGCTGCATCTTTATGTAGGCTCTGGATCAAAAGCGGCATGAAATCGGCGATCTCGACATTTTCCAATACGTAACAGAGCTTAACAGAGCGTAACAATGCACAACAGAGCTTGATAATCGTATCAGAGCATGATTTAAAGCGTCATAATCACATCAAAGCGTAATAAAGAGTAATAAAGCGTAATATGGCTTATCAAAGCGTGATTTTAAGCGTAACAAAGCCTGATCAAAGCGGGATCAAAGCGTGAGGAACCGTAACAAGCCGGGAAATAATTCGTCCCCCAAAGCGGCAACCAATTCGTATCAGAGCGTATCAGAGCTTATCAGAGCGTAACATTACTTAGGAGATCGTGATATTTTTGGAAAAGTAAACAAAAATGACGGCGCTTTGCTCGCCGATTTAAAGCGCGGCATTTGCCGTTAGTATGAACGGTGTATTATAATACTACTTTTAATAGTTTTCGTTCATGTTGCTAAGTCTGAATATTTACTTTGGTTGCCGTCTTTCCTCGATAAAAAAATGATGTCGTATTTTTGCTAATATTCTTAAATTACCCAACAGTTTAATGGTATATGTTGTATACACTAATCCTGAGTAGTATAATAGTTGAAAGCTTTCAATAAAATATTACAATCATTAATGAAAGAACACATACTGATTTTATGCGAGTGCCTAGCCAGAATCATTATTTATTTTAAGGGTAGATCAATCATTTTTTCAAAAAATTAATTTATTGCAGTATAATCCATTTAAAGACTGCGGTATATCTTGATGCTATAACTTTATATTATCGAACAGTTATTCTGAATTATTGTCGGTCGAGTGAATTTTAAATTGTCCACGTTAACAATTCTCACTGCATTGAACTAATGCAACTCTGTAACAGCATTTAAGTTTGGAAACAGTAAAATGTGTTCACACATTTAATTAATATACACATATACTTTAAATAACATATAAATTACGTTCACATCAGTAACGTAGACAGATACTGATGTTTAAACACATATCCGGCAATTAATATGTTTAAATTGTAACTGTGCATTGGATGTCATCTTTATCAAAATGTCTTTAACAATTAAGCAATAGAACAATAATAGCGATAATAATTTAATTTCACATTAAAATGTACAATACTATGCAACTAAATGAGAAATATCGGTCAAAAGAGAACATTATTTTGAGATCAAGGGCATAATTAAAAACGTAGCCTGAGGTCTACATTGATAATCATACAGGAATAATTAAATCTAGTAATTTTAGGGAGTGGTATATATGTGTTGTCGTAATATAACGTAAAAATAAATTGTAAGTGTCTCATAGAACTCTTTCACCATTAATTTTAACCCTTACAATTCCCCTGCACTGCCCCTTTTATTCATTTTATCTGTCCTCTTCATGTGCCACATATAGTTATCTGGAGCGCTATATAATTAGGCGTTCGTATTGGAATGTTAGTATCACGGTTCAGATTGAGAGAGTGAGCCCCAAATTACATGTAAGAAAAACATTCTTGCGTAAAATGAACGAGTTAGATCCTTTCACAAATTATTGACAGCCTCATTAGCAAAATTTATTTTGTTCACGTAAACTTCAATGAAATCGTAGACGTTATCTGTCAGAGAGTTAGTGATACTCTATCGCAAACAATATTTAGTTTATCTGCTATATCGAACTATTTTTGATTATAAAATTACCTTTAAGATTATTAACCCTTCTGTGCCTATCTTAAACACTTGTGATGATGTTGCGGAGAATTTTATAGTGATTCACTCTTATCCTCGGGGGCGGAGCTACGTCACAGACGTTCCACGTTGCTAAGACGCGCACCACTGTACCATGCATTTCTATGGGCTCTGTGCGCGCTGCTGTGGAATGCCGGTCGAGCCGGAGAAAATTCGAGAAAACAACACAAACTCAACTTTGAAGTAATTCCGAACAACCAAATTTATATATGTTACACACGTAGGGCTAATCTTGTTGCACTGTTCAGAGGAGTCTCAACAATCATCCCAAAGTACCGTTTTCTGCGAGTTTTGGGCCTTTGTTTTCACCGCCGCGGGTTGCCAGGCGGTGAAAATGCCCGGATGTCCGCCCCCGAGGATATCAGCAAAATTGCTTTCACCATCTTGCCAAAAAGTCGGTATTGAGTTAAAATTTGTTTACCAATTGTTATCCAATGGTTTATGTATATCATATTTTCAAGAACGTTTTATTAAAATGTTCAGTCGATATATATACTGACATCGTGACAGTGACAGTATGTAATAGTAGAAGAGGTAAAAAGGACACAAAATATTAAATGATATGAAAGTCGAGTTACTATGCAAACGTGGATAGTAGTCATATTATCCATGGTATTTGTTTGACTTTTTCGGTATTGCTAGATGGTGTTGTGATAATCGTTTTAAACTGATGCATGAGAAACTATTAATGAGGTGTTCATTTTTTGAATTATTCATATTTTAACACTGATATTGAAGTCTCCACTATCACATTTACAGTATGTATTAAAATCTACTGATGGCGTCAATACGCTTATGTTGCGGCCAATAAATATTTCAGACAATAAATTGCCTACTGTCATTGTTAATCTGAACTCACAATGACTTCTAATACACACTGTGACCCTCCATCATTGTACCCAATGCAAATAGGTTGGCCAATAAAACACATTAAATACCATAAATGTGACTGGAAATATGATTCGACTGTAGTAATCAATTTGCTCAGGACTTAATTCGCACACAAACGGGCAGCTTCTGTTAAAGCCATAATATAACTCAGTGGTTGTGTTGTCAGCTCCTCTAAGCGAAGATCCAGCAGGATGCAGTTGTTCTTGTTCATTTCTACTTCCAGTGTGGGCCTACATTGAATATATAGTAATATAGATATATGTCAAAAGAAATTGACGGAGTGAAATATATTTGCTAAGATCTCATAAAGTATGATTAGCTTCCGCTTGGAAGTAAATCTCAACAATGGGCAAACATAACATCTATAAACAAACATAGTCATGGTCACTGACCAGCTCATATAGAAACACTGTCTACTACACACACTTACAACATTACTTTGTTTTTCTTTAAGGGAATTGACCATTTCAGATGATGTTTGTCTTCGTCGACTTTGCCTTTTTATCCGTAAACTAATGTAGTTTACCGCAGCGTATTCTACTAAAGCAGCGAATACAAAAACAAGACAAGCCGACATCCACACGTCGATTGCCTGAAACAGAAGATACGATATTTTTATCTCAACATTATTGATATTTCCATGACGCAATATATATGTATATAATATACAATACGTGGATTCGCATGAAAACTGGAGATTAGTCTACCACATTTTACCTTCAGATGTGCTATTTTTGGCATCGTTCCCTGAATTCCATTCATCTGTGTACACAACGTCAACAAGGCAGTCATCACGAGTGAAACACGAGCTGGTTCAGAGTTCGGGTTGATCCAAAACGAAAACCATGACAACACGACAATCAGTAAGCTCGGAAGGTAATTTGACAATATAAACATCTCTTTCTGTCTTTGTAATCTGAATGTCGCAGTAAGGTGTGAGAAACTACCTATAACAATATTACATGTCATCAGCATCCCCAGACAGGTGGCAGATATTGCATGTTGTTTTTATTGTAGTTCTAGATGTGACGTTTGTGAGAGAAAATTAGATTTTGTAGCCAAATTGGGTTTACCAATAGGTAATCATTGTACCTATTGTACACGCAGTAATTGAGTTACATCACGTTTACACACAATGACACAATCACAATATATCAAATAAAACTGCAAGCAGCAATGTTTGGGTTAAATTCTGGACCAAAGCCCAATCTGGTTATTACAACAGTATGTAATGAAATATTTGTTTATAGATTATGTGGCATATATATACTACAACATTAATAATTTTTACAAGATATAATATCCGAATTACTTAATACATTTGGTTCTGCAAAGAATTGAGCAACAACATAACAAATACCAGGAATCAAGACATAAAATAAACACTAATATGCATTGGAAAAATGTATCACCTACCTGTAGTGTAGTTCCTTGTGATTAGCTCTCTGACTATTGTTGCATCAACAAACTCAAATTGTGGTAATGAAATCCCTTGTGGGACTGCAAAGGCTTCAAGATCATCGTCTTCTGCTGCCCATTGCAGAATCACGTCATCAGTTGTGTAAGCAACTTTACAAGAAAACATATCAAATGCTATAATGTCTTAAAATATACGTACCAAACTAAAGCAGCGACTGTATTACAAAGCATTTTGAATTTAGTTATGCATGATTTTATATGCCAGTCTTTTTAGAAACTCGCGTAATCACTTCAGATTTAATATTTTTGATGTGTGCGTTTCAGCCCTGAAATACTTTGCGAGATACAACACAGTTT